ATTCTCCATGGTGTACTTCATGTGTTCCTGGTAATGAAAAATAGACTCAGTCGAACCAGAGATAAGTTGAAGGAGACCAACTAAAGCGCACTGTTTGAAATTTGCCGACAGAGACTATGAAACCCGCAAAGAAAAACTAAATTGGCCGGACTGCGAGTCTTAGCTGACGTCTAATATGGCCCTACAGGGGGGGGGGGGGGCCACTAAAAACACATGCACACACATACACACACACACACACACACACAAGCATCCCCATACAAGCACGCATGGGTGCAGGAAAGGGGGGCAGGGGCCAATTGTCCCCCACTTTCTCAAGGTAGGGGGTAGCAATGTGAACTGCCTGCCCCCCTCCCCACACTTTTTTAGATTTATGGCGCGTTTAGCTTGCTTTTGTACTACCATTAACACGCATTCTGATTTCCCTAGTTCACCAGCCATCTTCCTGAAGATGCGTCATTTGTTTTTCATTTGTCCTTTAGCCGTTGTTTTAACGTCACAGCCGTGGAGCCGACGCCACGCGGTCTGTGGAGACTGCAACATCGGGCGTCGACGCTGTCGTTGGCAAGATTTGCGAGCGCGCACGTTCAGACTCATGTTACATAATTTGTATCGATAGCCCAGGACCTTGACTCAGTGCAAAACGTTTTAAGACTAACATGGGTCAGCCATGTCAATGCAACTTTGCGGCCTCATTTTGATCTGCAATCTACGTTCAGGCGGCTCGCAATATCTCTGTAGAACAAATAAAAATATGGAACCGGATTTTGTGTGACAATTACTAGACCACCTGCGGCGATTGGAAATGCTATTATGTGAATTATGGCTCCTTTGCTGATCCTGGGCTAACTACGTGGGTCAGAAGGACTCCCGCGTTAGGGAGAACAATGTGTTGTGGTGTAACCCTCTAAGGACATCCGGATCAACCAGAGGATCTCGCCCCGTGTCACCAGAATAACAGCCGGAAAGCACCCGGCGATTTGACGGAATAGCCCTACAGCCTTTGACCGAGAGCAGTAACGTGCCTCTGGTGTTGTACTCAAGGACCCTTGCCCGGGAAGAAATAAGGGGTTTCCTTATTGTTGAATAGAGTGGATCGAAATGAGCTCAAAAACGAACGAGGCCATCCACGTTGCCTGTGACGTTTATTCTTTTCGAAAATTGATTAGTGAGACAAATTTATCAAAAACTTTGAATATGCGTGCACGCAATTTCGGGAGTAAGGACTGCAATGGCCTCGGTTCTAGCTTCCGTAAAACCGAACGGCGTTGGCCACTGCAAGTGACACCAGAAGGCGGGCGCCGCAATTAATCTGTCCGATTAGCAGTTACAGCAGCACGAAAAATAAAGATTCTACCTTTTCTCTTTTAGTTCTACCACCAGGTTAGTGCGCCATTTTGCGGTGCCATAAAGGCCGATCTGATCTATCATCAATCTAAACATGGCATAGGTAAAACATAAGTCCAGACCACCTTTTGAATGTAATATTTGGCAGCTTGGAGGGTTTAAAGATTCTTTTTTCAGAGTCGTCATCATTCTCATCCAGCTGTTGACCGCGCCTCAGTGTTAGCCGCCGGGCCGACGGTTGCGCGGCCTGCGGAGACTGCAGCGCCTGGCGACCGAGGTTTTTGTTGCTAAGATTTGCGTGCACGCATGCTCCTAACTACGTTACATAATTTGTATCACTAACCGATTTAAGTGTTCAAAGGCACTTCTGTCGGAAGCGTCATCATTTTCATCCAACCGTTGGCTAGGACTCAATGTTGGCCACTTGGCCGACACTGCGCGGCGTACGGAGACTGCAACGCCTGGCGTCGAGGCTTTCGTTGCTGAGATTTGCGAGCACGCATGTCCAAAACTACGTTTTATATTTCGTGTCGTCAATCGATTCTGACTGAATGGTGAAACCTCCATACAGACATGGATTGGCCGTGTTAACGCACATTTTTTTATACATTTATATTTACAGTCTATCTTCGGGGGGTCATTCACGTGGCTCTAGAACTCACATACAAAATCTGGCAAAGCTTCTGAATTTTATCGATTTAGAAAGAGTCTGCTAAGCCATTATAAATAAGAGCACCGGATCACTGATTCTATTCATTTTTTCAATGCCTGATTTCTGCGGGCTTATTGACTTCAAAGTGCAAACAGATTAGATCTCGCGGTAACTTCTGTTTTTGTTTATGTGTTTATGTTTATGTTTATGCCCCGCCCACATACAAAGCAGATCAAGCCGGCTGCATTGAATGAGGGGCAATTAAATGTCCGTTGGAGCAATCCATGCCTGATGCACGCAGCTTCCCTAAAGCTTTGTCTGCGCTGGTGTGGTGTAAGGGAAAATAATTCGGAAAAGATAGTGTCGCAGGTGACCAATGAATGTTTTACATACTAGTAAGTAGTAATGCTGATCCAGAAGTGTGCAAAAAAGCAGCCATACGATCAGTTCGCAGTCAGCCCTGGGTGGAGGGGAGGGGGGAGGAGGGACAGCAGGGCCAGGGCAGTGGCTGCCGATGGCGGAGGAGAGCAAGGTTCAGATAAGGAATGTATGACAGAAGAACCTTAATTCTGTGACTTTTTAATTTATGGTTTTTGTCACATTGCTTTCGGTAGCTGGTTTTAAGCCTTCCGAATTTGTTTCCGCGTAAAATGTTGTGACAAGTCTTCATCTCAAGAAAAGTAGCCCGCGAAATCTAGGCACAGCAAAATTTAGAAGCACTATGGGCCATTCTTTATTATAGATTGATTCGCATTCAAAATTTTGGCCAGCCTATGTCGAGGTCGTATTTTAGCATCTACCCTATGGAGGTAGATGCCTCCTCAATAACCCAAAATGCCTGCACGTTCATGGAATGTTGCGTACCCAGGGAAAACAGTGTTGAAATGGACGAATAATCGTGGGAAGCTGGAGAGCCTTATTTACCAAATAACATCGATGATTCGAATAGTCAACATTGTGTACCAGTGAGAAACAGCTGAAGATGTATATCTAGCGCAGGGGTGGATCTAGCCTGGAGCTGTTTTTTTTGGGGGGGGGGGACAAACCGTTCGTCGCAAGCTGGCTGGTGTGGAATCCGAGGTCCAGTGCATGGTGCCTCTCGCGAAGTACCTGGTAGGGATACCATTGCAAACCGAAAAAAGCACCGAAATGCTTTTGAATCTTAAACAAAAGTTAAAACTAAAACAGTTAAAGCAGTTAAAGTTAACAGACGGTAAGTAGACGAAACTTTTACGAAGTTCTGGGAATGTTTTGGGGGGTTCAAAACATACCCTCAGAGGTTTTGGGGGCATGGCCCCGTGCCCCCCCCCCCCCCCCCCCACCAGGATCCGCCTATGATCTAGCATAGCAGTAATGCCATTTGATTATTCCAAAAATGTTATGTAAATTAAGAGCGGACAATAGCCTCTGTCCCTCCCCTCGGTCACTGGGCTTGCTTCCCAGAAAAAGCTTCTGAAGCATGCCCTGAACCTGGGCTCCCACTTTTTGAAACTTGCCACCGCTCATGCTAGCACATACCACAGACAATAGACGTCGTTGCATAAGGAGCGTTCCACATATGTATAGGGTATGAACTGGAAAAGTCATCTTGAAGACCATTTGGTGCATTTCATAGCCCTGTCCTTTTTGAGACTCAAACCTCCCTAATTTCTCAGGTACACGGACGCGAAGATGGGGAGACTATTTCGGGGAAAGTATTTTACGGTCACCTTGACAATCACGACGTCATAATGTCTTTCAAACCCTGCCATTCCATAACTCATGCGGTGATCAAGGCCAATGAAAACATGTTGTTTGGGTCGCTTATGTGTGGCGTTCGCGAGCACGATTCCCAGATACAACGGCAGTCAACTGGCTCTTAATGTTGTACAAGGTACGATGACGCATTCAAACAATCACGCGTCGAGGAACCTATTTACTAAACAGAGAAATTGTGTTGTCCAGAGCAGTCTTTTCCACTTAAAAGTATGCCAATAATCACAAGTGAGTTTGTTTCATCATATCTGATACCTGCTTCAATATCTTTAAATGGCAAACATTACCTTTTAACTGACGTTCTTGTGTTAAGTCAGTATTGCCAACGGGCATGATATATCGGTGATAAAATATCGGCATCGATGATAATTCATGATGGCCGCAGTAGTCTAAAAGGACGATTCTGGAGGCTGGATATCTGGGAGGTGACGATGCGCAAGTTAGTAGTCAGGTGGCTGATTTATCTTGGAACGTCTCCACAAAAGTATTATCCATACGAACGCATCATCACAGGTAATGCTTATGAACTTTTGTGCAAACTCTGCTGTCAAATGAATGCAGTCCTTCAACAACATTTCTGTGCATTCAGCGCTTGCGAAGAACTGCGTACATGCTTCTTGCCTATGGACCTTCCCATACAAAGTGTTGTCCCGACAAAACTTACCATGACGGCGATTCAACATCCTCATGTACCTTTTACCATACATACAACTATTTAGTTATGAACAGTTGTGCACGAGTTTTTGCGTCCATACTTTTAGCATACGAGAGACCGTACCTTTGCTTACAGACAGTTGCGTATGCATCTCATGTAGGTATGCATACACTTCTATGTGAACTTTTGTTCCGAAACCTCCGTAGGATTCTCTGAACATGCTCCTGTGTCTGCAATGATGCACGGCGAGTACGCAATGCCCGGCGTCCTGTCCGGAGAGATCTCTCTCGTGAAGAATGGCTCTGCCTCGGGCCAGCCGACCGGACGCTGCCCGGAATGGCCCAATTACCGTGTACGGCGTCCATCCCCTACGCCCCGCAGCATACGCGGTATACACAGCCCACTACGTGCAGTGTGACGCCGCGGCGTCAGCCGGCATTCAGTCGAGACTCCACCTTACGGCGGCCGGCATTCACTACAGCCGACCGCAAATGTAGAGAAAAGCGCTACTTTGGCCTTGAAGTCGCCGCCATTGGACAGCAGCCTGGCACCGCTCTTGCGCGAACGGCCAGCCCGCCTCGCCGCGCGCCGCAGGGGCGAGTGAAACGGAGCGGCCGCGCGGAGGTGGTGGTGCTGCCCCGTCACGTGCTGCTGTCTTGTGCGTCCGCCGCGGTCTCCGCTCGTGCGTCTGTCTATTATCACACGGTGCGGCCAGCATGGGGTAAGTAATGAACGTGGCGTGCCGGCGAGGCGGCTGGAGACGGCTGCGCGGCGGTCAGTGCTCTCAGTTCGCACCAGCCGCGATTTCTTTCGACCATTGTAGGCGGTTCAAAGGGCCGCGGGTCCCGTCGTCGTGACGGACGCTCCCCGCCACGGGACTGCCGAACCTAACCAGTGACCTGAACCTGAACCTAACCTGAACCTAACCTAACCTAACCTAACCTAACCAGTGTTCAAGCTCAGGCTGTGGCTACTACTGCGGCCGGCAGGACGCCGACCACGGCAACACGCGTGTACTTTTGGCTAGGGACATGCCATACAACTGCGAATATTTAGTCTCGACGGCAGAAGCATGATCTCGGCTCTCAGATGCCCTCAATCTAACTCATTACCAGGGGCAACGAAGTTCCTCATGTTGGGGCGGGGGGGGGGGGGGAGACAGAGATTTTCCGTTGGTTTTCCCAGCCAGTGTCCAAGGACAGTGCCTCCCTCCCGTCCCGCTGATTGCCGCACCCTTGCTCAAGATGGGGCTTACCCCTCGGACGGATTGCGGTAAGTCACAGCATATGGCCACGGTGGTGGCGGAAAGAAAAACACGCTAAAAGGATTTCTTGCTGAAAGCCTGACAGCAATTCGAAACGTCTAGCCAAAATATTCCGTTTGGGCAGTTGAGAAGACCTCATTTTAAACCAGAGTCAGCAGCTGGGTGCGTCGTAAAAGCTCCAATGAGATGACGCGACAGTTCAACATTCCGCCCCAATGAGCGCAAAGACTGGAACAGCAGCATTACATAACCCGTGTTTGATGCGACGCCTTGTTCACTGATGAGGCCCAGAACCTCGTGGTAAATGTCGCTGCTTTCCGTCATGCAGCGTAGCATTCTTCCGAAATTCAATTTACCGTGTTGGGGGGCCTGTGGATTGGACGTGGAATTCGGGTACCACGTTTGGAGTAATTGTTCAGGCAATCGTCCCCGTATGTTGGGGCCGTGTTTATATGTGTTCAGTAGAACCACACGTGAGCCACGGCCGAACACATTTTTGAACCACGCTGAACACATTTTTGAACCAAGCAGTGTGCATACTAACAACAAACGGGACGAAAGTCTGAAGGATTGTTTCAGCCGTGATTTAAATGCCTCACCTCGGTCATTCTGTAACAGGATAATCCGGGTAACGTTTGATGGTCAACCTTTCACGGAGTTTTCACATGACTCGTTTTGGTTCGGAAACATTTTCACTCCTGAGCATCCTGACCACGCCCTTATTTTCACCGCAAGTTTCACGAGGAATATATGAACGTGCGATAGCCGTAGTCCAGTGGTGGATGGCTTATGAAGCTGGTGCATCGACGCGTATTACATAATACCGCCGTGAATTGTTTTAAGCAAAGTTTCCGGATATTTGAAACGGACAAAGGTCCGGTCTGGCGAGACCCTTCAATCCGACTAAAGAGAGTTTCTGCGCAACCACCCTGCCGTCCTGTGTTACCCAAGCCAGGAGGGAAGCTAGCTCCACTTCTGGATCTCGTCCCGCCTAAAGGACGCCATCCGGTCATCCGCGCCAGTGATTTCCCCGCCTTATTGGTGAAATTGGAACGCATCAGGCAGTACTTTGACCACGAGAAGCTGTGTCTCGAGCTATTGTATGCACATGATGTCTGAGTGGTACGTGCCACGGAGAATGCTAAGACTTGGTTGCCCGAATTGATATGCATGTCCGTTAGTGTTCCATATTGGACAAGCGTATCAGTTACGTTACGAGCATATGATTGCAATCGTAGCTGATTCAATTATTCGTGACGTGGCCCGCAGGGAAAGAGTTTCGCATTCAGTGCAGGTGGGGGCTTCAGCCCACATCCCAACTTGGGCCCAAGCACGCCACCCTTTGAGAAGAAGCTGGGCCTAATCTGGAGAAACCCATTTGCTGAGGTGTTTCTGGGGAAGGTTACGTCATTTTTACGAATCGCCCTCGCCCTCCCTCCATCTCATTTTGCGGAGCTAGGCCGCTTATACCCCATACTTGATTTACCCGAACCATGTGCGGAGAATGCGATCAACATCCGTGGCGCCTGTTGGCCACGGACACTTTCTGAACTTGCGGCCACTTTCTCCACTTTGGCGCCGACAGTTGTAAACTTTCGTTTGATTTTATTCCGACACTGTCTTTCCTTAGCAAGAGCTGGGATCGTAGCAGGAGATAATCCTTTTCAGCATGTTTGACCTCTGCATCGCTGTCAGCCGGCAGTTTTGCACGGGGCCAAGCCGCTCTGTGGCGGGATAAGCCGCGGGACTTGCCAGTCACGGCAGCCTCACATGACGACCGCGAGCGCTTCTCACAGCGTCGTGCGGCATCGGGCGCTCGTGCAGCTTCTGGAGCATAGGTCTGCGGTGTGAAACCGCTGTCAGACCGACGTGACCGCTGACCTGACCCCGGCCTCCCTCTCCGCTGACCTGACCCGGGGCTCCCCTCTCCCTTGACCTGATCCAGACCTCCGCTCTTCGCTGACCTCATCCAGACCTCCTCTGTCTGCTGACCTGACCCGGGCCTCCCCTCTCCGCCGACCTGACCCGGACCTCTCCTCTCCGCCGACCTGACCCGGACCTCTCCCCTCCGCTGACCTGACCCGGACCTCCCCTCTCCGCTGATCAGACCCAGACCTCCCCTCTCCGCTGACCTGACCGACCCGGTGCCAGCGGACCTGGCCGAGGTCTCCCCCGCCCCCGCTCTCGGCGGTCGGCGGCGTCAGAGGGCCGACCGGTCGGCCGAGAGGGGGCCGGTCCGGCCGGCGCTGCCAGCCGTCTAACTCGCCGCTGACCTTGAGAGCACCAGTTTCCTGTTGTGGGCTCGATCAGCGCGCGACGCCAGCGCTCGGCTGGCCGGCCGGGACGCCCCGAACATTACTCACGGGGCCGCGGAGACCGCCGCGCTGCAGCCAGGGGCGCCAGTGGGTCACGAGGCTAGCAGTACGGGAGCTCATGCTCATACGTCCCTGGTGTTCTGATGTCTCCATTGCTCGGCTGAAGGCAGCTGGATGCTGGAAGTTGGACCATATGTTTTGAAGTTGGACCATATGTCTACCTCCTTACACACCGGCGACATATCAAACCAGATGGTGTCCACTTCACCAGTTCGTGGTACTATGTATGGCATAATGGAGTTCTTGTTTTGCTTTGTCAGCACTGTAGGAGTTGGGGGAACGGAGTTCATTATTCGAATCCCGCCAGTTTTCTTTTTTTTCTTTCAACGCCATGACAAACGATCAAGGTATAAGCATTCCGCATGGTGTCATGGAAGCACGCCAACCCTTTGCGTCTCTTTCCAACTTTCCAGCTGTTCTACCGGCATACAGCTTTTTCATTTCACTAGGTAGTTACACATTGCGACACTTCGCATTACTGACAAACGCAAAGCTCAAAGGGTTCAACGGTTCTTCGGACGAAGCGACCTGTTTTCAGTCCGAAGTCGCCCTAGCCAGGCGCGTAGAAGGCTGCGGGGCACATGTTCCAGCGGTCATTAGCAATGTCTCCGAGGCAAACATGAGCTGGTCACATTGCAATTTCAGACTGTTCGTGGCCATCCAGACTTCCCTCCCCGTTTACTTGTGATGCCAGCTTTCTCGAATCCTCTGCAGCATTTCAGCTCTACCTAACCCATGCCTATGCTCTTACCTCAGGAACACAGTCTGATTTCACCCATATGAGGTTACCCGGTCACTGGTGCAGTTCTTTTGAATCAGTTGTGCTCCCAGCATCAGGTACATTGAAGGCTGTGGACATACGAGTCGCTGTTTCTTCTAAGCCATGTTGAAAGTACTGCTTGTGGATTGCCGCGTTGAGCCAATGCGCCCAGAAATGCGGGAAGTACGCAAAAAGTCTTGAGCTATGTCACGGTTCTTCCGCTATATCGCCTCCCGCCCTGTCTCACTTTCTCTCTCCCCCCCCCCCCCCCCCGCCTTGCTCTCTCAGTCTCGCGTTTCTGGAAGCCATACATCGTATGCACCACGATGCTCATCCATCGGGCGCGGTTGGGTGCCAACCGAAACCTCATTTATATTCGTCAGCGTCAAGCATGCCCAAGGTGAAGTGTTCCAACTCACGGTAGTCAGTCGGGGAGCGTTGTCTTCGATAGACCGATAGACTGGGGTGGAAACGATTCGAAGCGCTCCATCCTTCAGATACGCGATCATTGACCGTGAAGGACGTCGGCCTATGCAGGGTTATTACGTGTGGGACCCAGGCCGAACTTCCGTAAAACGGTGGCGCTCGGTGACCAGCGGGCCGTGGTCGTGGCTCAAACTCAGACGTGCAAGTACCTCCGGCATCTGCCCACTGAGCATGGCGTGAAAAGGTACAGGTCACATACCAATCTCGCTTTGTTAAACTATCGTTTCTTTGGCTGTTTAAGTGTTTGGCTGCAATGAGCTCTGTTGGTGGTCGTAGTCCATACACAGACAATAGTTTCTAATCTGGGCATGGTCCGCACGCGGACAGTAGTTTTTAATCTGCGGCATTATGAGGTGTTGTGTCCGGGCCCTACAGTGGCCAGCTGAGTGGTATGCATGCGACGCCCCACATTTTGCATGGCCCTGGTGCTGTCGCCCTCTCCGCGATTCAAATAAGCTCATTTCGTTCCGAAGGCACATCGACAGACACTTTGCGCCGCTTTGTTCCCTTCGCTCTGTTGACCTCTACTGAATCGCTGCCGGGAGACGATCGACCTTCCCGCCTGAGACAGACCGGTCGAGCTGCTCAAGGCCGCTGCGTTCCACCGCGCCATGTTCGCCGTGAGCGTGCCGCCGGCCCCCGTTCTGCGCGAGGTCGAGCGCGTCGGACCCCGCGCCGCGTGCGGCGGGGTTGGCCAGGCGGGGCACGGCTAGCGGGGCCGCCTGAGGAGCGGACGGAGGAGCCTCCTCAGGAGCCGCCGGGGCTGCGTCAGGGACTGCCGAGGGGCTGCCGAGGGGCTCCCAGAGGCGACGTCAGGGGCTCCCGAGGGGCTGCCA